ATCAATTCTCTTGGGAAGAGACCTGAGCATCTTTCTCACCAATTTGTCTTCAAGTATTTTCTCTTCTAAAGCACTGGATGCATTAAAATTTTCAATAATGTTCATATGAAAGTCATTAATATTTTCATCACCCTTCATTCTCAAATTCTAAAATTTTGTGGTGAGAAACTAAAGTCTTGACATATTAACTATGGATGTGCCTTCATGAGTAGATTGAATAATTCCCCATGCATCCTTAGCTACTTCACATTAGGTCACTAATCTGAAAATGTTCTTGTCAATTCCATTGAATATAGCATTCAAGGCTTTAGAATTTCTAAGAGAAATTTCATCTTCTTCTTTAGACCAATCTTCTTCTGGTTTTAACTCAGAAGTAGGTTCTCCATTTTCTCCCAATTTGATAGGGTGTTTCCATCCTTTTAAAATAAGTTTCCAAGCCCTACTGTCCAAAGACTTTAAAAAGGAAACCATACGTGGTTTCCAGTAGTCAAAATTACTTCCATCCAGAATGGGTGGTCTGTTTACAAATCCTCCTTCCTTGTCCATAGTACTAGAAAGTATCTTCCCTATATCTCACCCATATAAAGAGCATGATGCCTGCTCTTATACCAATTGAAATTCTTGTATCAGATATGTGATATCGAATGAGATGTCACGACATAAATATCTGAGGAATAAAGTAAAGTGAAACAATAAAAAAAGCAGTAAAAACACATGGGATTTTTAACCCAGTTCAGTGTACAACAACACCTACTCTAGGGGCTACCAAGCCAGGGACAAGTCCACTAAATATTATCAATTTATAGACCCTCAGTAAACAACCAGTTTACGATCTAATCAATTAATCACTACCTATGCTATAATTTTACCTAAGACTCACCTAGGTATGAGGCCCTCCTCAAATCCCTTCAATCACTTACAGTGAAGAAACAACAGAAATAATAAGTTTAAAAAATGTAATCATTTAATGCTTAAAAGCTTATGAATGATACACACTTAACAATCCAAATGAAAACACAAGTATTCAATCAATACTAGAGTGTTTGACACTTAAAATACTTAGACTTCTAAAATAGAAAGAAAGTATTCTTCTTCAAAAGTTGTTGTTTCTGAATAAGGAAGCAGGTCCTTATATATGCGCAGCAGTGGGCTTGGGCTGAAAAACAAATATTCAAATTTTTTGAATATTTCCATGAAAGCAGGCCAAGATATAATCCACAAAGATAATTCAAACAGAAAAATATTCCTCCATATTTTTTGTAGCCTATGAGTCACAAATCCTGAATTATGGCCCGCAGGAAATCAAGAAATAGAAAACATGAATTGATATTGGGTTGAGTTCAATTCAGGAGGTAGATGTCAAGACATTTGCTTTGACATCATTCAAAACAGTTTGCTTCAAATGTTAAGACATTTAGCAAAATATTATCAAGTCATTATTTTACAAAAATTGCTGCCAACAAACACTTACACATTTAAATCTGAGCCATTGTCAATCACCACATTGGACAATGCATCTTCTTTACAATTCAAAGAGATATGTAAATCCAAATTATGGTTCCCTCCTTCTTTTGGTAATTCATCATCATAAAATCCGAGTTTATTACAAGCTGTAATTATACCTATAACACTGGCGAACTGATCAATTATCACATCTTGTTCAACAAAAGCTTGATCCAAGACTCTCTTAAGGTTAAGGAAATCTTTATGAGCAGCGTTGTTCATCAACAAAGCCAAGATAAAAATCTTTAAGGGAGTTTGTAACAACTGGTCAATAATTCTGTAATCACTCATTTTTATAATCTTTAGAAATTCACCAGCATCACCATTATTCTGACCATCCACTTTCTTAGGTTCACTAGTTTCAACAAATTTCTTACCAAGATCAACAACTTTCTGAGGTACCGGAGTAATAATACCGAGCTTTATGTAAGGGGTAGGTTATGAAAAGGGAATGTATTAGCACCCTAAAAATTTACGGTACTCCACGGGACCCTCTTTAAAAATTTGTGTATTTTGCTAAAAAGAGGTTTTTGCAAAAAAGTTTGTGGAGATGAGAAAAAATGTTTTTTTTTACAATTTTGATCCATTTCCTTTATGCGAGGAAGATTTTTAACCTGGACAATCATTTCCTTTCTGCGAGGAATATTGTTAATCTAAACGATCATTTTCCCTCAGCGAGGAAAATTGTTAATTTGAACGAACATGTTCCTCCCTCAACATACGCTGGGCTGAAACACAGATGCCCGAGTAATCATTCCCCGTGTGCGATTCGAAGAAAGAAAATCAAGGGAAGTCACGGAGATCCTCGACACCGTTGGCTCTCTGACATACGAGCTAACCTTAAGTCATAGCTCCTTTACTTAGGAGCAACGACTTGGGGGACTCCTGTTCTAGACTGGGCACGCGCTTAGGGCAAGACCCAATCCACTTTTGCTAGGCAGAAGGTCTAATACAGTGGCCCACACAATTATGATCGTTGGATGAATCTTCCCCCACGCCCCTATTGAGGACATTCTCCCTGACACGTGCACACGTTGAGGCCCTCCCAAGCGTATCTGTCGGGGACCTTCTCTCAACGTGCCCGACGGGAGCATCATGTCAACGTGCCCAACGAGGATGCTATCTCCTTGTAGGGTTCACCACCAACGTCACTTCGAATATCAGAGTCCTCTTGCTCCCTAAAAGAATGTTTCTTCCAGGTATTTCAGGGTAGTTCACCCAGGAAACTGACCACGTGTTGGTCTCTAATACACAAGTAGATCCTGACAGTCTCCATTGTGGGCATGCCCAGTTGGCCCAACATGGGGACCTTGGCCCAGCGCTAGGGGCTATAAATACCCTCTTTCACTAGAGGGTCAGATACATTATTCTTCACACTCTCATTACTTACATTTACTCTGAACCTTACTTTAGCATCAGAGTGTCTTGCAGGTACCCCCCACTTCACCTTCACCACTGTTCAATCCAAGTTTGTGGGTCAGCGATGATCCCTTCTAATCAGGCACGATCAATTTATATTTATTGAAAAATAACAATGTCGCTTATTAGTAATATAAGTAGACTTGTATAAATTTAATTACAGAGATTAGGTTCATTATAGATATTGAGCGCTAATTGGGAGGTTGTCCACATGCTTGAACATGATACAATGTCACGTGAATTTAGTTTATAGAAAACTAATTTATACATGAATTTTATTTTATTTATCATTGAAAAGATGACGCTTAAAGGTATTTTAAGTAGACATGCATAGTAGATTTTTAAATGAGTTTAGTTTTTATCTTATTGAGAAAATATCTTCGTTGAAGATTATCCCACTTAGATATCTAAGTATATATGTATAAGTCTAATTGATTAGACTTAATTTATTATTATAGACTTAAATAAATATATTAAATTGATTAATTTAGAGACGTCTTAGTTAATATTGATTGATGTAAGAAAATTTGTGTCTTCTTCATTTTTGTATAATTAGCTACTAAAGAGGTTATATCCTCTATTTATGTGAAGTCAGATTAAAGTGATCACATTAGATCCTCTGACAAAGTCTTGGGAAGAAATAAATTTGTGACACGTCAAAAGGAATATGACTTAAGCCAATTGAAACAAATAAGTGATGGGAACCCAACCTTTATGATTGGGGATCTCATCAAAAAGGTTCATATGGGTAAGAACAAGTCACTTGTTTCTGCTAGCATAAAAAATTATGTGATTAATTTTTGCATGCGTCATTTTTCAATGGTGTAGATGAGAACTAGACACTGCATTACTGAGTGGATAAGTTTATATAGATTTTTAATGAATTTGATATCTTATTGGAGGTGTATAATTTGCAGCATACACTTGATGAAATCACTTATATGAGTGTCGAGTGTGGCCGCTTGCATGAAATCTTGACAATATCTCTAAAACACTCATGAAAATAACCAAGCACATGCAGGACCTATTAGCACACCACAACGTAAATAACAAGAATTGTGAGGGTGAGATGTGAGTGGTAGACCTCTAACATACGCTAAGTACTTTGATTCATATAGTTTGTGATACCAATTTCATTGTATGTTAAGTACTATTATCTAGGAATAAGTCATATAGCTTGGTACACTAATTTGATGCATCACATTCAAAATGTTAATTCAGAAAAAAATTTCTTACTATTATTTTTTAACTTAATTTTGAAATATGTGGGAAATTGTTGTAAATATATATATATATATATATATATATATATATATATATATATATATATATATATATATATATATATATATATATATATATATATATATATATATATATATATATATATATATATATATATATATATATATATATATATATATTTCAAAAGTTTTAATTAACTTTCCTATTGTGTTGTCTTCTTCCTTTCTCATTGAAAAATATACACCAACCGACAAAATCATCCATGAAACTTAGGAAACATATTGACACAAAACTCCTTATACAAGAAACCTAGAAACATGACAAAGACTTCTAGTTCACAATTACATACCTTTTCAACAATCTTTAAAGTTTGTCACACCTTATCCCACATCACCATTTCCTTGAAATCATGCAAAATCCAATAAGTGACAATCTTAATTTGCAACTAGACACTACAACTATCACTAACAAAACCTTAACCCTAACCCTAGCACAATCAATGTACAACCCATCTCTTGCTGCAACCTATCTCTTGCAAGTAACATACTAACATATATACTTTTTATGTTAGGAAATCTCGATGAACAGTAAAAGATGTTGAAAATCTACATTTTTAGAGACTTATATAGTAAAGATCGAAAGAAGTTTAACTGAAATATCATAATAATGAAGCACAATAAATTGACCAGATACAGTCATTGATTTAACTCCAAACAAAGTAAAAACTAAAACCATTATGTTTTCAACTTCCTACTATAGACTCTCCTAATGACAACCAAGTCTTTCCTAACTTCAACTTGAACTAACTTTCATTCATCTCAAGTAACCTTCTTCTAATCGACCCACTGCTTACCATTCTTAACAAAATGGTTATGATCATAATGGCTGACTTCCAAATTCTCCAACCAATCATCAGCCGCCTTCAAAAGCGAGTTCAACAGGCTTGATTCAGATGCTGCAGGAAAAGGCAAGATCGACCCTTTCACCTTATAAGTAGTTAGGCCAAAACTTGGAAGAGACATTTTCAACTTTCCGTCACGCCTCTCCGGTAGAGTTTTGACTGTGACAAAGGAAGAGATAAAAAAAATAATGTAAGCAAAATGAGAATTTAGAATTTATTTTGGCAATCTGAATGGAAATGAAAGAATGAATATATACTTTTGAAATCAGTTGATAGCTTATGGTAAGTAAGAAAAGACGCATCGAGGTTTTTCATCGTTAGTCCGAGAGGGATGCGGTAAATCGGATACCTGAACACAAGTTTTATTTGTTAGACAGTACAAACACAACCAAACTTTATCTCGGCTATATGGATCAGTCATAATGACGGCGAAATATGTGGATTTAGAGACTACCATGCCACGGAAAACCAACTACGGGGTGATAATTCAGAGCTCTTCAAATTCTTTATACAAGGATCTTCTTTGGCAAGAGTTGAAGCCTAAGAGGAAATGGAACTATTAGGGTTCAAAGTTCAAACAGGAGGAAGAGATGTAATGCCAAGGGATATATTTGAAAAAGAAAAGGACTTGCCTGATCAGTAAGGGGAAGGCGTACATGTGGCAAAGCATGCTCAAAGTATTTATAGACAAGCTTATGAGGTGTCTTGTTTGAAGTCACAGAAGTACCACTTTCCTCACTGGGCTTTTTGCTACAGTTTCATAACAACATAATGGTGTTTTAAGTTCAAGAAAATAAACAAATACAAATTATTAAACTACAAAATACATTTATTGTTAAGAGTTTCAAATATATGGGCTGAACATGTTTTAATAAATGGAAGTAATTCTCGTTCTATCCGTCGTTTTTGTAGAGTTGAGTTAAATTCAACTATATTTGTTAACATATATCAGAGTTTTGTTTAAGATCCGTTTGATCACCTATTATAATATCTATTATCGGGCCAACATATTCTTATAACTGAGAACAATCTTCACCCTACAAGCCGATTTTGTAAGGTTGAGTCAGGTTCAACCACAATTCTTAAGACTTATTAATGTGTCCACCATTTATTTTCACGCTCCAGTTGTCTAGTCCCGGGCGTGAGGGGATTGTATTAAGAGTCTCACATCGGACAATATATGACTGAACATGTTCTTGTTCCAGTTGTCTAGTCCTGGGTGTGAGAGGATTGTGTTAAGAGTCTCACATCGGACAATATATGACTTGAACATGTTCTTATAAGTGGAAGCAATCCTCACCCTACAAGTCGGTTTTATAGGATTGAGTTAGGCCCAACCACAATTCTTAACACTTATCAATGTGTCCATTTATTTCCACCCTCCAATTGTCTTGTCCTGGGTGTGATGGAGGTGTATTAAGAATCCACCATCGAACAATTTATGACATGATCCGGACATGTTCTTGTAGAGTTGATTTAAGTCCAGCCACAACTCTTAACACTTATCAATCTAAATTTCATAAATAAATTTTAAATAAACTCAAAATCAAAGTTGTTTAATCTTAATCCAACAACTCCAAACTACTATACTAGTGCTTAGAATTTATGACTAAATAATTTAAAATTCATACATAATCACAACAAGGCTACACATGCAAAATATTCATTTGTTAGCTATAAAAGTTGGAGAGAAAAAAATTCAACTCACTCCAATCCTTCATCTTCAATATAGAGTTGAATTGCAGACAAATAAGGAACAAAGTATTGTACGATACGTTCATTGCCGTTGAGTGTGAGAGGAACCTCCAATCCATATGCACTCCATTCCTTGAAAGACTGCCACAAGTTTTCAAGAATGAAATAGGGCTTCTCCCCAGACTCACAAGTTTTGCTTCCTTTGTTCTCAGTCTGTGAAATTCAAAGTCAAAACAAATATAAATGAATTAATAAAATAAAATTATAGGAACAAAAAGCAAGCATAAGTAATTAAATACATATTTTTGACTAAGGAAACATTTTAAGGTTTGTTTGTGAGAAAAAAAAATATTTTTTAAATAGATAAGTTTTAGGACTTTTTAATCCGTTTATTATTACATTTTTAATGTCATTAAAATGAATGTTTGACAAAAGTATTAAAAAAAATTTGTTTATTAGAAAATGATAGTAATAATTTTTTAATTTAAAAAAATAATTGTTATTATAATAAATAATATAATCACCTTTTTACCATACATAACAAATGACAATGTTCGAAAATAGCTGATGTGATCAAAACTCAACACTAATCAATATCAATTACACCAAAGAACAATAATGAACATAACACTGAAAAATTGTGATGATTTAACATCTACCAAAGGAGTGAATGAAGATAAGAGATTATTCAGATTTTTCATACTAACCGGAATTGGCGAAATGGAGTCATACGAGTCAACTTGCATTTTTGGAGTGAATGAAAATAAGAGATTATTCAAATTTTCCACGCTAATAGGAATTGGTGAGATGGAGTCATATGAGTGAACTTTCGAGACATCTTGTTTAACCGGTTCAGGTTTTTGTTGCTGTTTATTTTTGTTGTTGCGAGGAATAGAAAACCTGAACCGGTTGGAACTAGAACCACTCTTCTTTGGCAAGGAACATTCACTAGTAGAATTTGACATATTCTACTAGCAAATGAAATTGAGATCAATAGTAGCTTTTGATAATCAAACAGAAATGAAAGAAAGAAAAAAAATGTAACAAGGGAGATAAAATGTTTGGGAGTTTGGATTTTATCAGCAACAAGAACCAAAATAACAAATAAAAACTTAAGTGTTGTGTTTTGCACTAAGTAGTGAAGTGTATATATAGAAAAAAATAAGGGGTCTGACTTTTTTTTAATATTTGATGTTTTTAAATAATTTTTTTCTTTAGTTTTGTTTATTTAAAAAATTTTAATGCTTGTAACTCCCATTTGGACTTATGTTTTTATAAAATACTATTTTTTATAAAGTTAAGTCAAAAAGAATATTATTTCATAAAAGTATTGATATTTTGACATAAAAATTAAACATTGAATAGAGACATTGGATATCTGTATATTACAGAATTTAAAAATGATTTTTAAAATATTTTATCATTTTGTTATAATATTTTTAAAGATGATTTTTTTTTTAAAACTTAAAACTAATTTTGAACTATGTATTTCAAGGTTACAATGGCTAAGCTCTTACCAAATAGTTACCACTGGTTTAAATAACTTTTTATAAAAAATATTTTAAATATTTTATCTCTTTGCTGTCATTTATTTTGGATAATAAAATGTTTTAAAAAAACTGGGATGTAACGATATTATTACTTCTAATAAAAAATATTTTTACTAGATATATTTTTGAAAAAATATGTAATTTTTATCATGTTAAAATCTTAAAAATAAGTATCAAATTTATTATTTTTATTTATAACAAATAGATTTAAAATTTATAATAATTTAATCTATAACAAACACACTTAGTATAAAATACATTCAATGTAAATATTGATTTGGTTGAAAAAGAAAAAAAAAAGTAACAAAAAAATATTTTAATTTATAAAAATTGACTGAGTTTTCTACTTAATTTTTTAAAAAAAGCGGACCTTTTCATATATTTAATTTCTATTTTACATGAAAGCTATAAAATAATGATTTTTGCTGAATTTTTTAATTATTACAAAAACAATTATTTTTTTAACACATTTCAAGACAAATTGAAAATTATTTTAGATACCAACTTAATTATTTTTTTTATTTTTTTTTTATCATTCTAAAATAAATAATTAAATGTATTACTTACAAATAAATAATTATTATTAAATCATATTTTAAAATAACAAATACATATAATAATAAAATTTGTCTACAAGTACCATAGGAATCCAAAATTTATATAAATATCTCGTCCTCCAAAGGAAAAATGGATAAGTCTCGATTAGCATTTATTTACTTACACCTATTCAAACAAGACTCGGAATGCTCTAATTAACCCTAACAATATCACTTTATTTATCTGTCTGTGACCTAGTTGTGTCAGTCAACAACAAGACCTCTCACCTCACATGAGTTGATCCCTAAAACAATCTCAACTACCACAACATAAGGCTACTCTTCATCGTGTACTAGCCTTCACTCTTAAATATGCAATATACTTATTAGAGCCTCTGAGTCTCCATGTCTTTGCAGGGAGAACACGCGCACACCTACACTTTTTTGGATAATATATTTTTCATAAGAAATAGCTTTTCAACAGGACATATGACACTATTTTGTTCCAAAAAAAACTTGTAAATAATTGTTTAATTGTTCAAGTGTATGTTGATGATATTATTTTTGATTCCATAAATGAAAAAATATGTGAGGATTTTTCTAACCTCGTGAAAAGTGAATTTGAAATGAGTGCCATGGGAGAATTGATATATTTTCTATATCTTCAAATAAAATAAAATAAAGATGATATTTTTATCTTTCAAGAAAAAAATGTTAAAGATCTATTTAAAAAATATGGTACGAATGATGCAAAGATCATGAGTACATCCATGCATCCCTCATCAACCTCAGACAAAGATGAAGAAGGATCATCCATTTTTGAAAAAGGACATTGTATGATTAGATGATTATTATATTTAACTTCTAGTAGACATGGCATTATTTTTAAGTAGGACTATGCGCAATATTTCAAACTGATCCAAAAGAATTACATCTTACTGCAGTAAAACATATATTTAGATACCTAGTTGTTACTACTAGTGCAGGTCTTTGGTATAAAAAACAATTCACATTTTGATCTGATAGCTTACTGTGACGGTGACTATGCTAGTGACAAAATAGAAATAAAAAGTACAAGTGGAGCATGTCAATTTCTAGGACACGCGATAGCTACTTAGTCATACAAAAAGCAAAACACAATTGCATTGTCCATAATAGAAAAGAATATGTCTCAGTTGCAAGTTATGTTAAAAATCCACCAATTCCTATGATAAATTCCTATCAATCTTGATGAAAAAGATTGTTGTCACCAAACAATGACAATGAAAAGAAAATAAAATTAAAGAAGAAAATAGATTTAGGATTTCTGCAGAGTAACTCTCTGCCCAAAAACTATGAAAAACTTCTTATTCACTTGCAACTACAAATTCTGTGAGTACAACTTGATTACAAAATAGGAGTTAATCCTTCTATTTAAAGATTTAGGTTAACTTGCTCTCTAAGCAAAAGCCCAAAACTATAAAAGCCCAAAATACTTATTTTAGAACTAATTTAAATCTATCTATTTTAGATCTAAATCAAGTATATGTGTAACAAACTATTTCCACACTTCGACACAATCTTTTCGAAACTTCCTTGTTTTTTGTCGAGCAAGATTCTTCGAAACAAGGAATTATAGTTTCAACACACCACCTAATTCATTGTGTCTAAACTATCTATATTCATTATAGCTCTTAGTCTTTTGAACACTTCGACGTGTTGTTTACCGTAAAAATTGGTAAAAAAACGTTAGTCTTCTAAAAACAACAAAAAGTATTTAGTTACTCGCATGATCGACTAGATTGATCCTAGAACATGTGTTCTAATTCAAACTTTCGCTCTTTGAAATTAAAAATACGTCGACAGCATTCATATTTCTTTGAAAAGATTAGGTACGATTCAAATAACTTTCTAAAGTAAGGTTTACGAAACTTGTAAATAAAATGCAGTAAAATAACTGAAATTAAATTGCTAAAATCAATTTCTGAAATGATAAAATTTTATTAAAATAAAAAGGTGTTTACACGTACATTTCTCATATGACTCTTTTCTCAATACGCAGATACTTTGAGTTTTGTTAGAGTTTGTACAAACGAATGAACACATGAATTCTATCATTAAGACCCCTATATATATTAATTCGATCCTAACGGTATTTCTACATCTATATGCCACATTCGCGACATGCAGACTCTTCGAATTAATACACCCCCCGTGTCTTCTGGATAAGATCGAAAGACTTAAATTTTGAATCCCTCCATTCGTGGAGAGCGCCAAAACTTCAACAAGATTATTCTAATTCAAACTTAAATACTTCAAACTCTTCAGCACATAATCTCCTTAAAGTATTTGATCTTCGACCATCCATCAAAAATAATCATTAGAACCACTTAATAAACAGCCATTCGAAATCTCCATCAAACATCTTTCAAAAATAACTTAGTCTTCGACTTTTAACCCTTTATACTCTATTATTGAAATTTCCAGCTAACAAATTCCCCCCCCAAAATTGTGTATTTCGAAATATCTAAAGAAATAGACATTTTTTGAATAGCCTCAAATTTTAATACAACTGTCTCATAATGATCATTACTGTTCATAGACGTCATGGTCATAATGATTATTTCCTTCAAATGTCCCATCGAGACGTGCGCTTATGCAGTTTCATCATTACCATAATAATGTAGGAAGAAATTGTGGCTTCCCAAAAATTAACCACTTTCTTAGCTTATAAAAAGTTGACACGTGTCCCACTATACTTCATCCAGCAAACAAAATTGAAATGTTTTCTCTTATAAATACGTTTTCTTAATCTCAGAAAACACTTTTCTAACTTTTATTAGCTTTTCTAAACATATGTGAATGTTTCTCCCTCTTTCTTCAAACCTTCAAACATCTTCATCAATGACACCCACAAAGAAAAGCATTAAGGCTAGCAAGGACGTGAAGAACAAAGATGTTGCATCCAAAACCATTGGTCATGCTTCAAAACCCATGATGAATGGAAATCAAGAATTTGTCCCATCGAGAATTGGTAATTTTCCCTTTTACTATTGCTGCTAAAACCTTAGGGTATATGGATCCTCTAGTTCATGCTGATGACTTAGCAAATTGCAAAGAATTTTTTCCTACATATCATGGAACCAGTCCCATAGCTAGTAAGCATAGGAATTAAAAGAATGTAGGTAAGAAGGTTGATAAAGATTCTAAAGAATCTAACGCGGAAATTCCTCAAGAAGGAATTCCCTCAAGTTCTGTTGATACAGAAAAACCTTTTCACCTAAATTATATGACTGATCTTTTTCAGCCATTTAGATCCTTCCTAATAAAAGATAATAAACAGTACCTTGATTGGTTAGCTAAGATCGATAAACAAAAATCCCAATTCTAGAAGGAAATTGTCATCTTCAACTTGATCCAATTGTCGAAGGTTGGGCCTAGATATTGCCAACACATGTGGATAGCATCCCTGTATTTATGGGCCAATACCTTTAACACCTTTCATCTTCCCTGAGGAATGATTACATCCACTTTATTTGATGTGGTCACAATTAATGGGCTTCGACCTATTGGGGAAGATTTTGACCCCTTCGTACAATCTGAAAACAATATCATCTTTAAAGTCAAACATTTGGCCTCACCAAGTATATGGAGCATTATCATACTGAAGGAAGTGAAGTATCAGATGTCGAACACATAGCCTTTCTCGCTCTATAGGTATCTAGGTGAATTTTCTATAGAAAATCCCTTCAAGTTTCTAAGAGGTTCTTAACCTTAGCCAATCAACTCCACTCAGGTCAAAACGTTTGCCTCAGCAAATTAATCCTTGTTGGGTTATATGAGTGTTTGGGAGAAGCAACCACGTCTTTGAAGGAATACGAAGTGGGCACCAATCTTTTG